TATTAAATATAATAATTTTTTCTTGATATTTTTCAGCTTTAACAAAACTTATCCAATTAAAAAATATCTTTTCAATTTAAACTTTTTAAAAATTCTGCAACATTTTAAAATATATTTTATTGATTATGCCATTACAGTTGTTCTATTCCCCCTTCATTCCCCTCCACCCTGCACACCCCCTCCCCCACCATTCCCCCCTTTAGTTTATGACCACATGTCTCAAGTTCTTTAGATTCTATATCTCCCCTACTATTCTTGCCCTCCCCTCCTATCTATTTCCTACACACCATCTATGCTACTTATTTTCTGTACCTTCTCCCCCCTTCTCCTCCTCCCACTCCCCTATTGCTAACCTTCCATGTGATCTTCATTTCTATGGTTCTGCTTCTGATCTAGCTGTCCTCTTAGTTTGCTTTTGTTTTAGGTGTGGTTGTTAATAACTGTGAGTTTGCTGTCCTTTCACTGTTCATCTTTTTTATCTTCTTTTTCTTAGGTAAGTCCCTTTAACATTTCTTATAATAAGGGCTTAGTGATGATGAACTCCATGAATTTGATCTTATCTGAGAAGCACTTTAGCTGCCCTTCCATTCTAAATGACAGCTTTGCTGGATAGAGCAATCTTGGATGGAGGACCTTGCTTTTCATGACTTTAAATATTCCTTTCCAGCCCCTTCTTGCCTGTAAGGTCTCTTTTGAGAAATTTGCTGACAGTCTGATGGGACCTCCTTTGTAGGTGACTGTCCCCTTATCTCTTGCTGCTTCTAGGATTCTCTCCTTCATTTTAATCTTGGCTAATATAATGATGATGTGCCTTGGTGTGTTCCTTCTTGGGTCCAACTACTTTGGAACTCTCTGAGCTTCCTGGATTTCCTGGAAGTCTATTTCCTTTGCCAGATTGGGGAAGTTCTCCTTTATTATTTGTTCAGATAAGTTTTCCACTCATGGCTGTTCCTCTTCCCTTTCTGGCACCCCTATAATTCTGATGTTGGAACGTTTAAAGATGTCCTGGAGGTTCCTAAGCCTGTCCTCATTTTTTTGAATTCTTGTTTCTTCATTCTTTTCTGTTTGGTCATTTTTTCCTTCCTTCTGGTCCACTCCCTTGATTTGAGTCCCAGTTTCCTTTCCATCACTATTGGTTTCCTGTGCATTTCCATTCATTTCAATTAGTTTAGCCTTCATATGTTCCTCTAATTTGTGACTAAAATCAACCAGTTCTGTGAGCATCCTGATCACCAGTGTTTTGAACTATGCATCTGAAAGTTTGGCTATTTCTTCATCACTTAGATTTATCAGCTCTGGGGCACTAAGTTCTTCTTGAGCCATGTTTTGATCTGTTCGTGCCAGTTTGGCTGAAGGGTTGGTTGTTGTCAGACTTTCATGAAGTTCAATTTTCTGTGGTTTTGGCTGAGTTTTTGTTGCTAAAACTTTGTTGTTTTTAAACTTGGTTATGGGAGGAGGCACAGTGCTTCCACCTATGCCTCCATCTTGGCAGAAATCCCCAATTTAAACTTTTTAATCAGCCTGAATACGTTATGACAATCACCAAGGTCTTGATTAAACCTTTCAATTTTATTAGAATTTTGTTCTATAAGATACCACCTGTTCTATAAGTTACCACAATAAATGTACATGTAGCCAAAGTTTACAAATATATATATTAGTCAGTATATGAGGCCCAAGAGAAACACAAGGTTTATGCACCATTTAGAAATCTGGAAGAAGGAAAAGAAGAACTTAGGATTTGGTAGAATAATGATTTGTGCCTCACTTCTGTAATGTAAAGTTGAAATAAAAGTGAATCTCACTTTATCAGATAGCTAGATTTCTGAAAAATAAATTCCAGCAAATCTAATTTTTTGTTGATTAAGTTAAAGGTAGAAAATATAGGGCAAAAGTATTAAGACAATGAAGGACATGAGGATACTATTAGAAGTAACTAGAGGGTTTTTTTTTTTAGTGTGGTGAGGAAAAAAATTAAAATGTTTTTAATTTTATAGAATTAGCAAATGTGTAACTAAAATAAACTGTTTCATCAAATCCTAGAATACTTCATTTTGATTGACAAAATCTATATTATTTAGGAGGTAAAGTTAGGTTAAAATGGATCATGCAGTAGTATACACAGTAGTAAAGATGAAACAAATTACCTCATGAGATGGTGAAACTAAAAAATATTCATATATTAAGAAAAATCAGCTTGTTTAGAAGTACATTCCATAGAATTCATAAAGTTAGAAGCTTCAGTGGAAGAACATACTCCTCCACTCCACGCCACACCTCAAACAAAATAAGAGTCCACTGTTAGTACAGACAGATATCAAGATATTCTGGGTTGTTTTTCTCAATACAGAAGTGGTTGGGATATATTATCACTAATTTTTATTAGAAAAATGGAAATGACTTTGCCTAGAATAAAATGTCAGTACCCTTATCTTACTAGACAAGACTAGTGGGGAAAATACACAAAAAGCTGCAAAAAGCATTAATGCAGGGTTTCTTTTTTTTCTTTTTTTTTATTTAATTATTTTTCAAGTACAGTTTTTTGCCTTTTACTCCCTTCCCAGCCTGCAGGGTTTCTAATGTAATTTTTATTTTGGTATCAAAAGTTTAAAACACCAAAGAGAAAACACTGAACTATGACATCCATTTTGATTTATAGTTATCTTCATATCTATTATAGGTGTGTCTTACTTTTTACAACTGATAAAGTATAATTATGTGTATAACAGTATTTCAAACAACAAACTCTGAATGTACCAAAAAGTTTTTAATATTAAAAAGTCAAGTAATTAATTATTATACAAGAAATATTTTTGTAATACAAATTAATCATTCCTCTAAATTATTTGTTTGATATGGAATAATTTTTCTTACATTTACAGACGGTTTTTGCCTGTACTATCTCATTTGGTTGTAGTAATAGCCAATATTTATTGACAGCTTACTATGTTCCATATGCCGTACTAAGTGCTTTACTTATATGATATTATTTAACCCTCATAACACTTCTGTGAAGTAGCTACTACTATTGCTCCCATTTTACAGATGAGAAAGTAAAGTTTGCCCAAGGGCATCCAGTTAGTTAGGTGTGGAGCCAAGGTTTGAACCAGTCCATCTCTAGAGCCCATCCTCCTAAAACTATTTGTCCAGAATACATAAATAACTCTAAAAAGTAGGCAGAGCAGACTACATATGAGGAGCATTTGGAGATTAACTAATTTACCCAAATAAACCCCATTAACAGGAATACTAAACCCAGGCATTCTTAGCCAGCTTTTAAATGTAGGATTCTTTCTATTATATTAATATTAAATGTTAGATTTTTTAATTTTTTAAACTGTTATTCAGTTACATTTGTCCCCATTTTTTCCACCATCACTCTCTCCTGCCCTACCCACCCCACTCTTCCCACATTCAATCCTCCCACTCTCCCCACTCATTGTCTTTGTACAGGTATCCTTTACACGTGTTCCTTGATTTGACCCTTCCCCTTCTTTCCCTTGTTATCCTCCTCCCCTCCAGTCACTTTTAGTTTGTTTTTTACTCCATATCTCTGGTTCTATTTCACTTGCTTATTTGTTTTGTTGATTAGGTTCCACTTACATTTCTTTTAAAGCAATACATAACTCAGCTCCTTAGTAAAATCCACACAATTCTCCTTGGTAGCACAGATAGTCTTTTTTTTTCTTACTTCAAAGAATAAGATCATTAAAAAATAATAATAATAAAATAAAAATTTGAAAATAGCAGAAACTAACCCTGGATTGTGTGACTCAGTGGTTTGAGCACTGCGAATTAAAGGGTCGGTTCCTGGTCAGGGCAGTTGCCTGGGTTGCAGGCCAGGTCCCCAGTTGGAGGCATGAAAAAATCAACCAATCAATGTTTCTTTGCACATAGATGTTTCTCTCCCTCTCTTTCTCCCTCCTTTCCCCTCTCTCTAAAATTATAAATAGAATCCTTTTTAAAATAAAGATAGGAGACGCTAGCTAACAAATTCAAATTTATTAGGTAACACAGAAATAAGACATAGCAGAGCAGATTTACCTATATTTGATCAAAGGGACCTGAAATTTTTATCAAGTAACTTAGCAGATACTGCAAGAAATAGTCTGGTAGTAGTGGTTAAAACTGAACTCTGGAGTCTAACTATCAGGTTCAAAACCAAGCTTCACTATCTGCTATTATGACCATATTCACATTTACTTAAACTTTCTATGCCTCAGTTTTTCATCTGTAAAATGGGGAGGATAATAGTACTTATCCTATATGGTTATTGTGAGGATTAAATGAGTTAATACACATAAAGTGCTCAGAATAGCAAGTACCTGATATGTGGTAAGCACTTAATAAATGTCAGGTAGAACTATTACTACTTCTGTATAATGAGATGTGCTTTTATTCAATATGAAAAATATATTTTGAGCTTTTTTTCTATTTTTCAAAGATTTTTATTTATTTATCTTTAGAGGGGAAGGGAAGGAGAGAGGGAGAAGAATATCAATGTGTGGTTGCCTCTCGTGTGTCCCCTGCTGGGAACTGGCCTGCAACCTCGGCATGTGCCCTACTGGGAATTGAACTGCAATTCTTTGGTTTGCAGGCCTGCACTCAATCCATTGATCTATGCCAGCCAGGTCTCTTTTTCTATTTTAAGAAACAATGTTTCTTTTTTCCACAATTTTTTCTAAAAATAAGTTTTATTTCTTTTCAGAATACATCCTTCTTTAACTATTAAGCATTATTCATTAGCTATAACATACTAAACAAATGTCAGCTCATTTATACTACATTTTACCTTTTCTTTCGTTAATCTTCAAATTTATTGAAAAAATCTGGAATGTTATCAACACTTAATATAATTTTATGTGCAGTGTTCCACCATTTTATATTTTCAGCAAAAACTAAAGTTTATCCATTCTAAGACAAAAAAAAGAAACCAATAACTGGGGGAAAGTACTTAACTGAATCATGTACTTTTGTTGTGTGCTCAGTTATATTTCCAGGTTACATGGATGGAGAACTTGCAAAAAAATCAGATCTGAGAGCCCCGATTCTAAAACGTGGAGGCACTTCAAAGTCTAAGAGTAGCCAAGAAGAAAACAAGGAAGCACTAAAGAAGGAAATCTTATTCACAGATTCTGATAAGTCTTTGATGCGTGAAGCAAAAGGCATCGAGTTGAAGAAAGACAAGATGGGGATGGAGCCCAACATAAAGGAAAGTGACAGAGAAATGCCAAAAAGACAGGAAGCCCAAGTAAAGGAGAGTGAGTCCAGAATACCACAAGGACAAGAACCTCAAGGAAATGACAGTGAGTCCAGAATACCACAAGGTCAAGAACCTCAAGGAAATGACAGTGAGTCCAGAATACCACAAGGACAAGACTCTCAAGGAAATGACAGTGAGGCTGGAATACCACAAGGACAAGAATCTCAAGTAAAAAATGAGAATCCTGAAGATAAAGAAAACCAGGACAAAGAAGAGGGAGATACAGGAAAGAATGAAGATGCAAAAGAAAAGGAAGCCAAAAAGAAGAAAGGTGGTGGAAAAAAGGTCAAAGCTAAAGGAAAGAAAGAACCACAAGCCAAGGGTAAAAAAGCAGAAGCTTCAAAAGAGGGGCAAAGCAAGGAAAAGAAAGAAGTACAACAAAAAGAGAAAGAGTAAAGATAAATAAAAGCCCATAAGACAACTGTTTATTATGGTTCCCATCCTCCAGATACAAGTAATATACCAGGCACTGCTTAAATGGATTATAATTATAGAATTCTTTTAATCTATACATCTGCAGAGTTTCTACTTTTTAGAAATTTCACCATTTTTAGATCTCTCAGCCCCAAACCTCAGTTTTCATCTGTGTTATAAATTGATACTTATATTACTTAGTCAGAATGACTGAATACTTTCTGAACTAAAACATTTTGATTAAATAGAAGTATAATAAATTTTAACAAACATTATATCTCTGTAATATATAACTTTTCATGGTGGGCCTAGTGTCCCAGCAATAGAAGTATACAGAAAAATTATAAGTCAGAGTCCCTGGAGTCAGATAGTTTGTAACATACGGGGGTCCAGCACAAATAATGTCCTTATTTATTACATAAAAATATTTTATCACAAAATCATGAGCATAACAATATGTAACATAACAATATCACACTCAAGCACACCGTATGACATTTTAAGTGAATTGTTCCAATTGCTGTCCATCTCATGCAAGCCATTCATGTACCCTACCAACCACACTCAGTGGTGTTACTTCTGCCAGACCCTGTATATAGTGATATGACAATTTTTGAAAAACTAAAATTTAAGTGTCAAAATGTAATTTAGATGGACAGAGTATAATAAAAGTTAGCAACCTCTTGGAGTAAGAAGGTAAAGGGGTTGCCTTCATGGGGAAGGGGATGGATATCACTATGCTGATGATGTAGAAAGAGCAGAAGAAAGGCAAAGGGAGTAAGGACTGCTGTGCTGTGCCCTAGGGAAAATGCGCAGCTGAATGGTGCAGCAGGCTCATGAGAAGTATTCTGGGATATAATTTTGAAAAGGAGAGTTAGAAGAAGATTCTGAAAGAATTTGAAAAACAAACCTGGAATTTGTATTATATTCATCAGGCAACTGGAAGCTTTCTGGGGTATTTGTGAAGGAGAATCAAGTGAACATGGTTACATTACTACAAAAATTAATTTTGTGAGTGTGCAAAATAGATTGAAAAGGAGAAACATCATAGGTAGTAAATCTAGTTAGGAGGTGCTTGGAACAGTAAGTAATGGAAAAGGAATAAACAGAAGAATTAGATAAATTTTTTCAACGAAGAATCACTACTGTGTAATGACCAACTACATACAATAAGGGAAGGAAAAATCGCTGACTCAACTTTTGAAACTAGGTGACAGAAAACAAATAACAAACTAGGAGCTAGTTTGTGGTACAGGGAAGGAACAACAAATTGTTGAGCTTGAAGGGACAAATAATAATACTTATTTTGGAGAGATCTGGAGTCAGTCCAATGGAGGTAACAAACGAAGCCATAAGAGGAAGGAACTCCCCAAAGGAGCAAGTATAGAGCTAGCAAAAGCAGAGAGAGTACAGGTGCAAAAACTAAATAGGTTGAAGAAAATTATCTAGGATAAGAAGATACAAGGAAAAACTGTATAGTGAATGAGTTGTCAAAAACAAAGGGTGATTAGAGGATAGCCAAGACTTCAAGAAGAATAACATCTGAAAGAGACCATTATAGTTGTTATTGGGAGGTAGCTGATTAATTTGTAAAGAGCACTTTTCAAAGACTCTTTGTAGCTAGGACAGACTCCTAGGTAGCTAGAAGAGAAGTTTAAGCAGGCAGAAAATAGAAACACAGGTAAGCAGTTAAAGAATGTGCTCTCCAATAAAGTCAATTTTAGTATGCTTTAAAAGCAGGAAATTTTATTTTTATACTACTCACTCAGTGCTGGGTTAGCCCATACTTTGAACATTATATTCGGCTCTGTCATGGGATACTGATAAAGTAGAGTAGCTTTAGAATAGGCAGATTATGATGGTAAGGGGGCCCAAATCATCCCCAAAAAGTAGGAAGTTCCAATTTCAACTGCAGGAGAAAAACATACAGGGAGACAATAAGTGTTTTCAGATATATGAAGGTTCATCATGGATTACAATACTTAGTGTGGCCATAAGGAAATAACACACATGAATGAAATGTTCAAGGTAACAGCTTTTTGTCTCAACCTAAGGGGAAGTGGGATGACTGGGAGAATTGAAGACTGCATGATCTTTGGCCTGGAATGTTGCAAAAGAGATTCTTAGGAATCAACTGAGTGGTTAGAATAAATTTTTCTTCTTTTTTTATTGTTATTCAATTATAATCGTCCCTATTTTCCCCCATTACTCTCCCCTGCCTTGCCCTGCCTACCCCCATCTCCCACATTCAATCCTCCCCACTCACTATTGTCTTTGTCCATGGGTCCTTTACACATTTTCCTTGACTTGACCCTTCCCTTTCTTTTCCCCGTTATCCTCCTTTCCTCTCCCCTCCGGTCACTGTCAATTTGCTCTTTATTTCCACGTCTCTGCTTCTAATTTGCTTGCTTGTTTGTTTTGTTGCTTGCTTGTTTGTTTTTTCCACTTATAAGTGAGATCATATGGTACTTGTCTTTCACCTCCTGGCTTATTTCACTTAGCATAATATGCTCCTATTCCATCCATGCTGTCACAAAGGGTATGAGTGCAGGTAGTTTTTGTTTTGGGGTTTTTTACTGATTTTAGGAGAGAGTGAGAGGAAGGGAGAAACAAATTTTTTAACATTAATTTGTTTTATTTATTTATGCATTCATTGGTTGCTTCTTCTGTGTGCCTTGACTGGAGATCAAATCCATAACCTTGGTGTATAGGGACAATGCTCTCTCTAACCAACTGGGCTACCTGACGACATCCTGAAATAGATTATCTTTTTTTTTTTTTTTTAGAGAGAGAGAGGAAGGGAAGGAGAAAAGCATCAATGTGTGGTTGCCTCGTGTGTGCCCCCAAGTAGGGAAGTTGTCTGCAACCCAGGCATGTGCCCTAACTGGGAATCGAACCAGCGACACTTTGGTTCACATCCCGTACTCAATCCACTGGGCTACACCAGCCAGGATTGAAATAGATTATCTTAATTGTTCCTTTCATATATGAGTCTATAACTCAGAGTATAAAATTTTTTGAACTACCTAGATGTCTTCCAGGGAACATTTTCAAACTAATCAATTATGCCAGAATTGTTTAGAGAGGTTTGACAGAGAGACAAAGAGAGAGAGCCCATACTCTAGTCCCAGCCCAAAGTAAAATCTTTCATAAATGGCTCATTTTACCTAAACTCAAGCTGAATCAAGCAGCTCCACAACTTCTGGCAGAACCCAAACCACTGTGTGAATTCCTATCATGTGCTCACAACCCAGCCACAAGAGTAGAAGCCTAACTTAATTCTAGAGGTCACAAAGCCCTCAGGCTTTCTTCACTATTTTGGGGGTGGGTAGGCTTTCAATGAACCACATAGATTTTAAAAGACTAAATTTAAACAAAACATGGGGGGTGGAGAAAAAATATGGAGCATGAAAATTTTTTTCTTGATTTGTAGATATTTTTTGTTATTATTCAAGTACAATTTTCTCCATTTTCCTGCCATGACTTTACTGCCTCTTTTCCAATTCTGATGCCTTACATTTCTTTTTCTTGCTGTGGCTAGAACTTCCAACCTACATAGAATAGAAGTGGTGAAAGTGGACAACCTTGTCTTGTTCCTGATCTTACTGGGGAAGCTTTTAGTTTTTGCCCATTTAGTATGATGTTGACTGTAAGCTTTTCATACATGGGCTTGATTATCTTCAGGTATGCTCCCTCTACTCCCATGATTCTGAGTGCTTTTATCATAAGTGAGTGCTGTACTTTATCAAATGTATTTTCTGCATCTATTGACATGATCATGTGATTTTTGCCTTATGTATTATTTGTGTGGAGGATTTTAGCATCTATGTTCAACAGCAATATTGGCCTTTAGTTTAGTTTAGTTTAGTTTTGTTTTGTTTTGTTTTGTTTTGTTTTGTTTTGTTTTTATTGTGTCCTTATATGGTTTTGGAATTAGGATAATACTGGCCTCCTACAAAAATCTGACTCCCAAAAAGTTTGGGAGTCTTCCTGCTTCTTGGATTTTGGGGGATAGTTTGAGAATAATCAGGGTTACCTCTTCTCTAAATGTCTAGTAAAATTTTTTTTATAAATCTGTCCAGTCCAGGGCTTTTGTGTGCCAGGAGTTTTTTGATTACTCAGTTTCACTAGGTGATATTGGTACCTAGGTGATTCTGCTTCTTGATTCAGTTTCAGAAGATTATATGTTTCTAGAAATTTGTCCATATTGTCCTGGTTTTCAAATTTCTTGGCATATAGTTGTTCATAGTAATTTCTTACGATCCTTTCTATTTTTGGTTTCACTTGTAATTTCTCCTCTTTCATTTTTAATTGGGCCCTCTCCCTTTTTTCTTGATGAGTCTACTTAAAGGCTTGTTGATTTTGCTCACCTTTACAAAGAACAAGCTCCAGGATTTATTGATTCTATGAATTGTTCTTTCAGTCTCTATGTCATTTAATTCTGCTCTGATCATGATTATTTTCTTTCTTTCACTTGCTCTGGGCTATCTTTGTTGTTGTTCCTCCAGTTCTTATAGATATAGGGTTAGATTGATTATTTGAAATGTTTCTATATTTTTAGGTAACCCTGTATTACTATGTACTTCCCTCTCAGGACTGCCTTTGCTGAGTCTCATAGGTTTTGGTCTGTTGTGAGTTCATTTTCATTTGTTTCCAGAAACTTTTTGATTTCTTCTTTGATCTCATTATTAACCCATTCATTAATAGCATACTATTCAATCTCCAAGAACTTGAATGTTTTGTTTGTTTGTTTT